TGCCAAAGTGGCAGCATCAATGGGCTCAAGTGTGGCAACAATAGGTTGGCCCATGATTGGGCAGTGTTTCGTTCTGCTGTGCATAATGTCGCTATGAGTTAGTACCGAACTGATGGCACCCAACAACAACAAACAGCATACGCAAAACATTGAGTTACACTGGAAACATCAAAAGACAACGAAAGGACTATACAGTCACTGTATCAAAAAAATTAGTCGAAATGCAATCATTTCAAGAGGTAGAATATGATCAAGAACTGAAAGAAGACATCTTAGCAGCACTGAGGCTCTAGGGGTTACTGACAGGTTACAAACTAAAATGTTTCAACAAACTGATGCTGCACTAAAGCTACTCACTCATCTATGTCCTACTGATTGGAAAAGATCCATTATTTGTGCCTATTCCAAAGAAAGGTGATCCAACAGAATGCAGAAATTATCAAACAATATCATTAATATCACATGCAAGTAAAATTTTGCTGAAGATAATTCTAAACTGATTGCAGCAGTACATCATCTGGAAGCTGCCCAAAATTCAGGTCAGGATCAGGCGAGGATATGGAACAAAGCATATCACTGCTGACGTCAAAGGGATCTTGGCTGAAAGCAGAGAATACCATACTCTGAAAAGGCATTCGACTGCAAAATGGACTGTAACAAACTATGGATAACATTGCAAAGAATGAGTATTACAGAACACTTAATTATGCTCATAAGGAAATTGTACATAGACCAAGAGACAGTTGTTCAAATTGTATATAGACCAAGAGACAGTTTAAACACTGAATGGTTTAAAATCAGGAAGGGGAGCGGGGTGGGGCACAGGACATATAAAACAAGGAGCAGGCACCATTCTTTTGTTTCTTGCTGTAGCAACAAGAATGGGAGTGCCCAGAACCTTGTCTGGGAGTGTGATGCCACGGATTGTCTTAAGAAAATAGCAGACAAGCCAAACATGGGAGAAATCACCAGCTTCAATAAGGCCAAGCTGAAGAAAATGTAGACACAGGAGAAAAACACCCTGCCTACCAAAGATACGAATGAGCAGGAGTAGCAGAATTATAGAAATTTCCTAATTTTGGAGGATTCTACCCCCTTACCCCACCTGACCCCACCCCCAGTCATCTATGAGACCCCAGTTACAATGTGGAGGAAGAGCCACCTGCAAGATGGACACAAACAATAAGCTGCATTGTGAACCTGTGCACTCCACGCTGATATTACCCATAGGTCTGCAGGTCTCTGAAAGGACTACCAAATTCTTCAGTTTGTCCTGAGATATTATAGAAAATTATTTGCATGACTAATGAAAATAAAATACACTTTGTGGCAAAAAAAAAATTAAGAAACGTGTACACCAGGATTGTATCCTTTCACTACATTTATTCAATCTGTGTACTGAAAAGGTAATCAAAGTAGCTGTATTATATGAAGAAGAATGTGGCAACAGAAATGGAGGAAGAGCCACTAACAGCCTTCAATATGCAGATGACACAATCTTCCTTGCTGAAAGCAAAAGACTTGAAAGACTTCCTAATGAAGATCAACCACTACAGCCTTCAGTATGGATTATGAACAAAAATCCTCACAACTGGACCAATACTGAAATAACATCATGATAAATGAAAAAAAAAAGATTGAATGAAGTGTCAGAGATTTCATTTTGCTTGAATACAAAGTCAATGCTCATGAAAGCAGTAGATAAGAAATCAAATGACATACTGCACTAGGCCAATCTGCTGCAAAAAAACTCTTTAAAGTGTTAAAGAACTAAGATGTCAGTTTGAGGACAAGATGCTCCTGACCTGTCGGTATTTTCAATAACCTCAAATGCATGTGAAAAGTTGAACAATGAATAAGGATAAGGAAGTCCATAGAAGAATTGATGCATTTGAATTATGGTGTTGGAGAAGAATATTGAAAGTACGATGGACTGCCAAAAGAAAAAAAATTTGTCTCGGAAGCAGTACAATCAAAATGTTCCTTAGAATTGAGAGTGGAGAGACTTTATCTCTTGCACTTTGGACATAATTTCAGGAGGGACTAGTCCCTGGAGAATGACATCATGTTTGGAAAAGTGAAGAGTCAGTGAAAATGAGAAAGACCCCCAACAAAATGGATTGGCACAGTGGCAGCAACAATGGGCTCAAACATAAGGATGCCAGAGGACCGGGCAGTGTTTCATTCTGTTGTGAACAGGGCCACTAAGAGTCAGAATGGACTGGATAGCACCTAACAACAACAACAACAATTGCCTCAGTGGTGCTAGAGATCATCAGTACTCTATCCTCTCCCTCTCTGTACCTAAGACCTTCGTAGACTGGACTATTACTCAGCTTTCTTGTCTCCAGACTAAGTAACACTACTTCCTTCCCCCTTTTGTGACAACTCTGTGAGAGAACTAGGGCTGAGAAGAAGTCAGGGAAGGGGTTTGTGCCAGAAAAGAGAGAGAAAAGAAACACAAATACATAAGCTAAAGCATTGGAAAACATGGGAGGTGGTGGGTAGAATGTATCACAGAACTATCCTCAAAACAGGAAACCCATTGCCTTCGAAACGGCCACCCTGAGACACAGGCAAAAGAAAACTCAGAGACTCCAGACCCATGGAGTCCCCTCAGCAAGGCACCTAAGGAACTCCTACCTCAGATCCCAGTAGCCCCCTATTTCTGACATGATATCTTCCATTGTTCAATCAGGACAGACCCTTACTGGACTAGGAAGAGTGACCCAGGAACCCAAGTTGAGGGTACAGGGTAAAGTAACATATACTGCTCCACTTGGAAAGGTTTCCAGGGTCATCCCCTAGCCCATGATAGTTTAGGCAATCCCTCTTCCTCTGAAAGAGCCTTAGCATCTCTAAGATATGACACTGGAAGAAAAATACGGAGGCCTGCCCCTAAACTCACCTCAAAGTGTCTCCATCTACAAGGATGTGCTTGAACCTCTCCTGATATCGGAAAGCCCGGACTTCTCGAATCTCCCGGATCCGCCGGCGCCAATTCAGAAACCGGTAGTGCAGGTTGAGGTCATCCATCTTGTTCATGAGAACAAACCTGCCAAGGGGGTTAGTAGATTGAGGAGGAAGCAGGGCTCTAAGCAAAGTACTTCAGCCTGATCAAACCTCAGTGTGGGGAAAACACTGGACTTGGAGCCAGGGGGATATATTGAGTGCAATTCCCACTGTCAATCTTTCATTCAACAAATGATTACTGAGCTCCTACTATATGTACTGTCCTAGGAGTCCTGGTATGACACCTCAGGCAGTTTGAACCATAAGGTCAGTGGTTCAAACCCACCAGCCACTCCTCGGAAACCCTATACAGGGTCACTATGAGTCGGAACTGACTCAATGGCACTTAACAACAATGGGTACTAAGTAAAGGAACCCTGGTCGTGCTGTGGTTAAGTGCTTGACTGTTGATGTTAATCTCAAACCCACCCACTACTGCACCTCAGGAGAAAACTGTGGCCATCTACTTCTGTAAAGATTCCAGTCTTGGTTTAGGTACAAAGGTTATGGCTATTTACAAGATGAAGGGAATCCTGTTCTCATAGGACTGTCATTTAGTTGCAGGGGTTGGGGAGAGAAGGATAATAACCAGACATGGCAATTTTAAACAGTGGAGAAAAAAAGCAAGGGAGGAGGAAAAAAAATCATGGAGAAAACAACCATAGAGAGCTACTACAGGAGTCCTAATGTGGTTCTGTGGGATAAGCACTGGAATAAGCTTTGAGCAGTGGTTCAAACCCACAAGCTGCTCCTTGGAAGCCCTGTACAGGGTTGCTATGAGTTGGAACCAAATGGACAGCACGTAGCAACAACAACTTTGGAGAAAGTGGACAGAAAAGGCCTCTCTGAGGTGACACTGGAGTTAAGATAAAAAGGAGCCAGAAATGTAACAACCCAAGTAAGAGTATCCAGGCAGAGGGACAGCCAGATCTTGGGTGGGGAGGCGTATGGCATAGAAGTTTGGTGGCTAGTGTGTAGGGAAAATGGGACAAGAGATCTAAGAGTAAGATGGGGACAGATCATGGCCCTCCCTACAAAACATGAAAACCAAACCAAGTCCACTGCCATCTAATCAATTCTGACTCATAGTGACCCTATATATGATTTCCAAGACTATGAATCTTTACAGGAGCAGACAGCCTCATCTTTCTCCCACGGAGCAGCTAGTAGCTTTAACTGATCATGCAGTTAGCAACCCAAAGCCTAACTCACAGTGCCATTAGGACCCCTCACAGACGATCATGAGTTCGGAATTTATTCCAAGTGTGATGGGAAATTTTTGGAGAGTTTTGAGCAATGACATAACATATCTAATCTAACTGATGTTTAGAAAAAAAAAATCATTCAAACTGCTGTTTGGAGGACTGAACATAAGGGAAAAGGGAAAAGTGGGTGAACAACTAGAACTTCTTGCAGTTTTCAGATGAGATGACATCCACTAAGATGGTAGCATTTAGATGGAAAGATGAAGAGATGTGAGATATGTGGGTACTGAAGCAACCAGCAGGGCCAACACATGAATGAATGAATATTTCCTGGGAGCCAAAAGAGACACAAAGGTGAGGGGCTTTTTTCTTCCCATCTCAAAACTCCTGAAACAAGGCTACCATTAAGCAAGGCCTGACAGTGCACTGCACACACTGTAGGTACTTAGTAAGCAGTGGCTGGGCTGAATGGAACACCTATACAGCATTACCATCCTTCTACCGCAGCTACAACCCACATCCACCATGTGGCCCAGAAGGGTGAGCACCTAGGAAGCAGTCCCAGAACTCCCTCTTGGGCGCTCAGACAGGGCTTGACCCCAGACCTACCGGCATCTGATTACCCAGAACCCCACAGTCTTGGCACTAGCGAGTGGCGGCCGCACTGGGTCCCGCCTCCACCCCAAACAGCTCGATCTCTCAGATGAGACCTGGGGGTCACGGGGCTCCGGCCCGTCACTGTTACTGTGTCCAGTCTCCCCAGGCCCTACACCGGGCCAGGAACGCCCCGGGGAAGAAGCCAACGACCAGAGCACAAGGCCCTGCCCCTGTCCCCCGGACCCCCGCCTCCTGCTTCAGGCTCCTGGGAGACCCGAAGCCTCCGGGACCCCGCCCCCGATCCCCGCCTACCGGGGCCTCCGAGTCCTCCTCATCCATAGGCCTCTCAGCTCCGCTCACTAGCTCTTCGGCGGCCGCCACCACACACATCCGGGTCCCCGCCCTTCCTACGCTCTTGAGTCCCGCCCCTCCCCTTCCATCCAGGCCAATCAACACTGGCCAATGATGACAGGCGTCTGGAGAAACCAATTGGAGGACACAAGCAGGGTCTGGGGCGCGGCCCGGTGAACCGGGTACCTAGCGCTGGGTAGGGTCTGGTAAACCCGGGTGTAGGGAGAGAAGTAGGAGGCGTCGTGGCAGTGCGGGCGCTGCTTTGGGTGCCCAGGGCACAAAGAGTGGGTGGCCAAGGGGCGGCTCCTGCGCTGGGCGGGACAGGTAGAGAAGGTCACTATGTACTGAAAAATACTGAGTATTTCTGGGATGTTCATTCTGTGCCGGGCGTGATGCTAAACGCTTTATAGGAGTACCCTTTTAATCCACTCAACAACCTTATAAAATAAATCGTATCATCTCCTTTTTAGATTAAGGAGCCTGAGACTCGGAGAATTTAGGCCTGTGTGCATAGTTATTACCATGCATATGCTTTATATTCTCCCGAGCTCTCTGGCGTCCATTTCCTGTCACCATTAGTTCATTCTGGGAAGGACATTGTAGCTATCCCAAGAGGAACAACTCATGCAAAAGCACAATGGCTTGAAGTAGCATGCATAGAAACAGGTGGTTTGGTGTGGCTAAAGAAAAGTTAGACTAAGGTCAAGCTGTGGGGAGGCAGGGTACTAACATTTATTGAGCACCTACTAAAATGTGTTTGTCTTGTTTAACTTTTTATTGTGAATTGCTCTGGTAGCGTAGTGGTTAAGAATCGGGCTGCTAACCTCAGGGTCAGCAGTTCTAAACTACCAGCTGTTCCGCGGGAGAAAGATGAGGCTTTCTAAACTACCAGCTGTTCCGCGGGAGAAAGATGAGGCTTTCTAAACTACCAGCTGTTCCGCGGGAGAAAGATGAGGCTTTTTGCTCCCGTAAAGATTTACAACCTCGGAAGGAACCTGAACCGACTCCATGGCACATAACAACAATTGTGAATTGAGTGAAGGTTTACAAAGCAGTTCATCAGTTTTACATTCAACAAATCAAGTACTTTGCTTCGTTTCAATGATTGCATCCCCTCCATGTACCATCAGTTAACAGCATTTACCTTCATTCACTTTAACTCTTGCACTCCTCCCTGTATTTCCTGCTGCCTTCATCTTTCCTTTGCCAACCTCCCTGTCATACTTGTTAACATGTGTCTACCCTCTTGTTGTTGTTGTTGTTGTTAGGTGCCATCAAGTTGGTACCAACTCATAGCGACCCTGTGCACGACAGAACAAAACACTGACAGGTCCTGGGCCAACCTCACAATTGTTGCCACGCTTGAGCCCATTGATGCTGCCTCTTTGCCAGTCCATCTCGCTGAAGTCTTCTTCTTTTTCTCTGACCCTCCACATGTGAATAATTTCCTTCCTCCCCCCATAACCATCATAGAAAGTATCACTTAGCAAGAAAATTTTTTCTTTACTTTTTACAACAGTGGTCTCATACAATATATCCTTCTGTGATTGGCAAATTTCACTCAGCAAAATGTCCTCCAGGTTCATCTAAAGTGTGTTTATTGCCATTCTGGAGAATTTGGAATCCTAGAATGAGGACAGTCTTTATTTTTCTGATCACTGAATCTCTTTTCTGGATAGAAAATGTTTCCCTTTCTCTGTCCTTTCATACCATGTCATATAGCACTTATAGTTTTCATTTCATTCTTAAAGTTGCCTATGTATGTAGATCTGCTTCTTTTCTAGACTATAGATTCATTCAGACTCCAGGGCCTACTCTATACCTTGTTGTTGTTGTTAGGTGTCATTGAGTTGGTACCGACCTATAGCAACCTTATGCACAGCCGAACAAAACACTGCCCGATCCTGGGCCAACCTCACTACTATTGCCATGCGTGAGTCCATCGATGCTGCTATTTTACCAACCCATCTCCTTGGGGGTCTTCCTCTTTTTCTCTGACCCTCCACCTTACCAAACATGATATCTTTATCCAGAGACTGGTCCCTCATCCAATCAGTCGTCCAGCTAGTTGTCTTTCAAATTTCTTGGCAGCGATGAGTGAGTGCCTCCTGTGTTGCCTCACTTTCTTGAAAGATTTCAATTTTTATTCTATCAATTCCTGGTGCCTTGTTCTTTGCCAATTCCATCAATGCATCTTGGACTTCCTCCTTCAGTATCATTGGCTCTTGATCATATGCTACCTCTTGAAATGGTTGAACATTGACCATTTTCTTTTTGATATTTAAAATACTGGTAGCATAGCTTTCAGAATCATAGCAACACACAAGCTACCACAGTACAACAAACTGACAGATGAGTTGTGGATTCTATACCTAGTACTCTACAAATACTGAGTGAAAGGGAAGCCATCATCTCCTGTACCATGAACTGCTTGGCATAATGGAAATAAGTGTATGGGAAATAGGGAAACCTGGATTAGAGAACCAATTCTGTGTGTTAGAAAGTTTTTGGTGTTCTCATCAATAAACAAGAATTCTTGAGGCATGTGTTCTTTTGGCTCCCTTCCAGTCCTGATTAGATAGCCTTGAATAGTTACCCTTCCCAACTTATTTCCAGCACCTTCTAGTTCCATTCTTTCATTGCTTCTCTCTTCTATCTCTTCTTCCTGAGCTATGAAAAAACACTGAGCCTCAGTCCAGTTCTCTCCAAAGGACTGGCCAGGGCGGTTCCCAGAGTCATGGTGGCCATCCCTGGATCTCCTGACTCCTCCCAGAAGTTAATCAGCTGGCTAGTTGCTGAGATGGAGAGAGAGACATCAAAGAGTTTTTGATGGTTGGTGACTCCACTTGGGATCTCATCATCCTCAAGTTCTAGGTGTAGTGGGGCAGGCCTTCTGGATCCCTTGATCCATTGACATTTTCAGGACCACAGTTGTAATTTGTGTTTTGCATCTACATGTATTTGACTAAACACCTATTTTGAAATATTAATGACATAACATAAACTGTACATATTTAAGGTGTAAATTTTGATATGTATGTTGCTATTGCTGTTAGGTGCCATTGAATACATTCTGACTCATAGTGACCCTATGTATAACAGAACCAAACACTGCCCGGTCTTGTGCCAACCTTAAAATTGTTGTTATGTTTGAGGTCATTGTTGCAGCCACTGTGTCAGTCCATCTCATTGAGAATATTCCTCTTCTTCACTGACCCTCTACTTTACCAAGCATGATGTCCTTCTCCAAGGACGGACCTCTCCTGATGATGTTTACAAAGTACATGAGATGAAGTCTCACTATCCTCACTTCTGAGAAGCATTCTGACTGTACTTCGTTCAAGAAAGACTGTTCTTTCTTCTGGCAGTCCATTATTCAAAGGCATCAATTCTTTCTGTTTTCCTTATTCATTATTCAGCTTTCATACATATAAGGTGTTTGAAAATACCATGGCTTGGGTCAGGCTTGCCTTTGTCCACAAAGTGACACCTTGCTTTTAAACACACAGTCAATAACTTTGCATAGTCAGTGAAACACAGGTAAGCATCTTTTTGGTATACTCTGCTTTCAGCAAAGATCCATCTGAGATTAGCAATGATAACTCTCATTCCTCATCCTCTCGTGAAACTGGCTTGAATCTCTAGCAGTTCCTGTTGTTATACTGCTGCAACTAACTGTTTTAATTATCTTCAGCAAAATTTTACCTTTTGATATAATATTAATGATGCTGTTAGATAATTTCTGCACTCTGCTGGATCATCTTTCTTTGGAATGGGTAAGAATATGGATCTCTTCCAGTCAGCTGGCCAGGTATCTGTTTTCCAAATTTATTGGCAAAGACAAGTGAGCACTTCCAGCATCGCATCTATTTGTTAAAACAACTTAAGTTAGTCGTCTATCCATTCCTGGAGCCTTGTTTTTTTGCCAATGCCTTCAGAACTGCTTGGGCCTCCTCCTTCAATACTGTTGGATCTTGATCATTTGATACCTCTTGAAATGACTGAACATTGATCAATTCTTTTTGGTACAGTGACTCTGTGTATTCCTTCCATCTTCTTTTGAGGCTTCCTGTATCATTCAATAATTTGCTCAGAGAATCCTTCAATATTTCAACTAGAGACTTTAATTTTTCTTCAGTTCTTTCAACTTGAGAAAGGCTGAGCATGTTCTTTCCTTTTGGTTTTCTAACTCCTGGTCTTTGCACACTCCATTATACTTTACTTTGTCTTCTCCAGCTTTCCTTTGAAAGATTCCATTTATTCCTTTACTTTAGCTATTCTATGTTTCAGAGTCTTTTCTGACATTCATTTTGGTCTGTTTTTCCTGTGTTTTTATAGCCATCATTTGCTTTCTTTATATATGATGCCTTTAATGTCATCCCAAAACTCATGCGGTCTTTGGTCAACTCAATTCTTCAGATGGTCTCTAAATTCAAGTGGACTAAAGGAGCTCTGGTAGCGTAGTGGTTACGAATCGGTCTGCGAACCTTAAGGCCAGCGGTTTGAAACTACCAGCCGCTCCGCGGGAGAAAGATGAGGCTTTCTACTCCCGTAAGGATTTACACCCTCAGAAACCCTGTGCAGGGTCGCTATGGGTCGGAACTGATTCGACGGCACTTAACAACAACAACAATACTTAAGGTAACGTTTTGGCTGTCGTGGACTTGTTTTAATTTTCTTCAGTTTCAACTTGAACTTGCATATGAGCAACTGATGGTCTGTTGCACAATCGGAAACTGGCCTTGTTCTGACTGATTTCTATCATTTATTTCCACAGATATAATGAGTTTGATTCCTATGTTTTCTATATATAGTTGCCATTTATGTTGTTGAGAAATATTTGCAATGAATTTGTCTTACAAAATTCTGTCATGTGATCGCCAGTGTCCTTTCTATCACCAAGGCCATATTTTCCAACTATAGATCCTTCTTTGTTTCCAATTTTCACATTCTAATCACCAGTAATTAACAATGCATCTTCATGCCACGTTTTATCAATTTCAGACTGCAGAAATTGGTAAAAATCTTCAATTTTCTCATCTTTTGTATTAGTGGTTGGTGTGT